GAATATATATACATAAGATACAATATATATACTACAAGATAATATATTATGCATGACAATTTAGTGTTTTACTATTGTTTTGTTATTTTCTTTTTCGTCAAGCACTTTAATAATTAGATCTACATATATACTATATATATATATTTAATATATCCATGATACTACAAGAAATTGCCTTAAAAAAAATAAAAATAAAAAACCCGCTAGGTCCGCGAAGCCCACGAGCTCGGCCCGTTAAGCACAGGACCATGTGGGCTTAGGCCCGTCACGGGCCGGTTCCACCCATTGAGCCCACGAGGCCCGGGACCGCCAGAGCCCAGGCCCACGAAGCCCAGACCCACAAAGCCCGGCCCGTTTGGCCCACGAAGGCCCGGGCCAGAATACAGCACTACCTCCAAGAGCATAAACCGGTCCAAATGAGCGAAATGGATATTTGTTATTCGTAAAAAGACGAAGCAAACAAATATACAGTGGTTAAGAACTTAAGATATATAACCCACCTCCCCACCCCCCACCCCCACACACACACTGAAATGAATATCCTCAGAAGACTTGCAATAATTCAAGAATCAATTCAAGCTTACTTCCTTGAACTTCTATGACGGACTTAATTTACGCAGTTGAGTGGCGCTTGTTCGCGTTAGGACGNCCCCCGGCTCTAAACCAGTCTTTTTGGAGTTCCTTTTAATTTAATAACTTGTTTGGATGGTTGTTACCCATCGTTTTATAACGTATTGTGTTATATTGTATTGTATTGTATCGTTTTTATAAATACAACGTTTGGATAGATCGTATTGTTTGCTGCTGTTAAATAATATTTTACTGTTTGGTTTGACTGAATCGTACTGTATTATAAGTCTGTAACAGATAAGTTTACTAAAATACCCTCAATTGTTTAAATATTAAATTTATCAATAATTACGCATAAATATAATTTAAGAAAATCTCTTTCTACTAATTTATCACCAAATATGTCTTATAAATAGATTACGCAGTTAAATTCATACAAATTCTAACAAAATTAGCAATTTTACGTAGGAATTGAAAGCGGCGGAAGTTCTAGAAAAAAAAAAGGGACGAAGACAAAGTAGAACCATGGAGTAATAAGATAGGGCATAATAGGAAAGAAAAATAGGAAACAATCCCACCATACCAAATCGGTTGTTTCAAAAAATAGGACTTTTCATTGTTCCGGAACAATGAATTTAATAATACAATACAACCAATTTTAATTAAACAATCAAAACAAACATTATTTTGAGATAACAATACAATACGATACAATGAGTAACAACCATCCAAACAAGCTGTAAAACTCAGTTCAATGCCAACGTCTATCTATCTTTTGCCACTGCAACTCCCAAGTCTTTATTCTTTTACCCATGTAGTGTGACATTTGTTTATAGCAGGATAAGTATATACTCCAAATATGTCACAAATATACTCAAGTTTATGAAGATATCATTTGAACTCATAGTGTTTTGTTATCACGATACATCACATTTTTTGCCTCCTTAAGAATAAGAATTGCGATGATCAAGTGGATCAGGTTGTAGTAGCCTCGTTCTATCATTGGGAATGAATAGCGTTATAGATATCAAATCCTAACAAAGTACTCCCTCTATTTTATTTATTTATATGACAATACGGAGTTTAAAAAAGAAAGACTTTTGGCACATACCTAAAGTAACCTTAAAACTTGTACTCTTAAACAACGATGATTTTTTAATGACTATAGGCACATTCATTAAGGGAAAAATGAGAAGTTAAAATAAAGGATTTTCAAATATAGTAAAGGTAACGTTTTTCTAAAACAAACTTAAAAGGAAAGAGGGTCATATAAAACCAGGAGTACAAGTCATTTATCAATCTTGATTATAAGACCGTATCTCATGTACAGCTAATCAAAGGAAAGTGATTCACTTTGCAGCTCAGTTGATAGACCTTTTCTTGACAACAACAAACAAAAAAGAGGAAAAAAGAGCGGCAGAAGTTTGTAGACAACAACAGTTCATTCAGTGACTGATCTGTACAGACTGCCTGCACTCGATGTAGTCGATTTGACCTATATAAAGTTGAATAATTTTTAAAAAAATATGTCTAAGCTAGCTTCAAACTGATTGCTAAGTAAAGGGTACAGAATATCGCACCTACTGATACCTTGACCTGCCTCAGAATACATGTTCCTTGAGCATCTACTCTACAGAAATGTGAATGTCCGTGCTGAATGATGGGCATATCATGGGCCAACTGGTTTTCTATCCCAAGCCTCCCTCGCTCCAACCAAATCCGGGCGGTATCTCTTAGCTAGAACTTCTACTTGTACGGCAAATGACTTATTTTCATGTTGACTTAGCTGACGAACCATTTGGTTCCATCTTTTTCGACACAACTCTCCACTTCTGTGGTCAAGAAGATTGTCCCAATCCACGTCCTCTATGCAGCTTGCATCCAGTTCAAAAAGGGCATCAATTAGGCGATAGTCATCAGTATCTGCCCATTCACCTGCAGCCACCATCGGTGATGTTAATTGTCTGTACCATTTGTTGCAGCAATTTAGAGCAATCCTGGTGGACAATTTGTCACTAATTTCACTCCAGCAAATATTATCCCGTAACATCCCATGCTTAGATTTCTTCTCTTCAAAAAGCTTCAGTTGCAGATTAGCGTTTAGCAAATCAAACAAAGTCTGGATCTCCTCCTGAGCCCAATTTCCTTTTTTGAGATTGTCCAGTTTTATCCTATGCCATGCATTTCCCACATGTACCCTATCTTTCCCAAGTTCATCAGCCAAGATCTTCCACTTGGGCCCATGTTCTCCATAGAACTTTCGTACCATCTCATACTTTTCTTCAGTCCATTTACCCTTCTCACCCATTCTAAACAAACGTTGTGCACGTTTATAAACTGCTATATAAGGCCTGTATGGTATAGCCTTCCATATCTTTTTCCAGCAGCCCCTTAATTCAGGGATAGATTTAGAGTCCAACACTTTTGGCAACCCGTCTCCGCCCAAGTTATGTACCTCGATGTATCTATAAACAGCGTCTTTGACAATTTCATCTTCTTCTTTTGTGAACCATTTGCCGTACAGTAATTTTTCTTTATTAATTTCATGCTTCTCATCACTTGGATAACTGGATGGAGGGAAAACCTGTACCTCACCTGTAAATCTCACTCTTTTATCACTCTTTTCATGTGAAAGATCTTTACAATTGTGTCCTTGTCTTTTTCCTCTTTCTGATGTTAGCATCATCTATTTTGCTATCTTCTATCTCTTCTATGGTTGAAACATCACCTTGATTGACTCCAGTCACAATATCTACCCGTCCATCCTCTTTTTTCCTCTTTTCCTTTTTCCTTTTCTTCCTCTTCTCCTCGGCTATACCATTTCCACCAGAGCCCTCGCTGAGTGTCTCAACCACTTCACTGTCATGTGTATCACTTCCACTTTTATGAGCAATTGTTTTGGTGTCTACAAGTACATCATGCATTGTATCCTGCTCATTCTTTGATATATTTTTCTTCTTCACAATATTTTTGACAGCATCTTCGCTCCTATCTTTACTGAACTTCCCGGGCTGTTTTCTGTCACCTTTTTCTTTCTTTCTCTTGATGTCACGATCTTCACTTTCTCCGGGTGCTTTAGTTCCCATCTTTTCCTTATCCATTTCTTTCCTGGTCCCTACAGAAGAGAGCTTCTCTTCCTTGAAACATAGATCACGCTCAACAGCTTTAACATCACCTTTTTTCACTTCACAACCATTAGGGGCAGCATTTTTTTTCCTTTTATTGGATTGCTTCTCCAACATCATGTGCACACCAACCTTCTCATCTCCTAGGACCATGCCTCTTTTGGACAATGTCACGTGTGCGTCTTCTTGCAATGCACCAAAATTGGCTTCTCTGCAAAAGGAGAAAGAGATAGAGAAAGAACGGTTAAGAGATTGAGTACACCGCAACCCCCTGATGAGATTACCAGAAGCCATGTAAAAACTATGACCTATCTACTTGTATTTTCTTTACTTTATTTTTATATTACCGACTTATTTCAAGAAATAGCTTTTACAAGATTACCCACATTAACCAACAAGCAGCTGAATGACTGAACTCTGTAGTCTCCAGTTTCTGGATTTCCAATTTTAAAGTTTCAAGTCGCGTAGAAGAGTCAATTAGATTCCGAACATAAAGCAAAGCCTAAAAGAAATGTTTGATCTAACATCTGTATAAATGAAAGACTGTTACAGCTCCCATATTACCATCGCAAATTAAAAGGCTACTCGGTTAAAGCATGGCACTAAAACTCCAAAGATTAAAAAACTATATCCCATCTTGAAGAGCAAAATAAAAATACCTAATCAATTCTAAGGACGAAGGCAAACCCTTCCTGCTCAAAATCAGTCTCTCAAATGAGACCTGCTGTATTTGTGCCTAACTTTCTATGAAACTAGCAAGAGTTAATACTGCTACTCCCTCTGGCTTTCTTCAGACCCATCAAAACAGAAAGAGAGTGAAATATCAAGCTAAGAGGAACAGTGTGAGCTACGACAACTATTACTACTACTATTGTGCCTCAATTTTAAGCTAGTTGAGTCTATTGTGCAAATTCATCAATATCTTAAATGCTTTGTTTGGGTCCATAACATTTCAATACTCCGGACCTGAGGATTATATAACACTAGGGATTCTCTAGTGGTTATATCACTAATATATGAAGAGTCTTCTAGTAAGCACTAATAATTTAGATAGTATCACCTATATGAATTTTCAACTTCCACTGTTTTCCATCTTTTTCTAGATTTGCTTGGATTTCGAGATTTCTAAATCTTTTGAGTCAACTTCTTTTCATGTGATTTTAGGTCTATTTCCTCATTTAGCTTGTTCAATCATCGTGTATTCACTTCTAAGAACTGGTGCATCTAGAAGCCTATGTAACACGTGGCAAGCGCCATTCTATCATGTTATCCTCTACATGTGATTTTAAGTCTATCTCTTCCTCGTTTAACTTCAATCATCATGTTTTCACATCTAGAAGCCGGTGCATCTGGAGGCCAATGTAACACGTGGACCATCTCAGACGACATTCTCTTATTGCACAGGAACGATGTGGCTTTACTTAACCAAAAAATAGGGGGGAG